TTTCATGTCTTGCATTGTAGCCTACTAAAGGATAGGGGATGGTTTCCTTGCTGCAGTCTGGTTTAAGAAGTTAAAAATGAACTGGTATGAATATATTTTTGGTTAGTTGAATCCCTAAACTCTGTACAACCTGACTTAAAAGGTTATAAAACTCAATAAACCATAATAATTTAATAAAGTAACGAAATTGAGTCATAAATAAAACAAATGACAAATTTTACCAGTTTTTTCATCAAATTAAGTCAAATTTTATAAAATATTACTAAAAACATAATCAGGAAGAAAACATTAACAAAATATGTGTAGACATAAATGTAAACGTTTAAAAACTGTTTTATTTAGTTTTCTTCACAGAAAGAAAAATCAGAGAGTTTGGCCAACTGTGTCTATTCGATCCAAAACCATAGAAGTGCTTCAGCTGTCAGTTAATTAACGTTATTAATAAGAAACAATTCATGAATTTCAGGAATTTGATGAAGCTCCTCCCACTTTTCAAACAGAAACCAAAAAAAAGGGGGAAAAAGAAAAAAAACTCTTTTAGAATGTTGGTGCGTGTGACATCAAAGCTGACAGAACGGAACCTTTGATGTCACATTCTAGAACTCTGCAATCTGTTTGAGAGACCTCAGGAGGACCACAGAGTCTAAACTCATTCCACTGCACACACAAGCACCGTGTACCAGAAGAGTCGATCCACTACAGACACGCTACAGACAATCACAGTCTATCACAGCAAACACTGTTACTGACAATGGATCCACAAACAACCTTCATATACAGCATGACCTTCACCAGATCAGACCTGATCAACGACACAGAGGTCCCAGCAAACAATCCTGGGCCTTATCCAGATAATAAGCCAAAGAGAAGGGTTTGTTTTTCTGACGAAGTTGAAGCTTCAAGGTCTACCCCAGACGTCTGCCATCTGGAGGCCCACCTGGACCAGGATCAGGAGAGCAACCACTGTCTGCAGAGCGAGCTGACAAGCGTGCCGGAGCACAGGCAGAGCCTGGTGACCGAAAGGAAGAAGTTCGGCTTCAAGATCCACAATTTAAAGTGGCAAATCAACAGACTCGAGGGTCTGCTGGAACTCCGGGAGAGGGAGTTCGCAGCCGATGTCAAAAACAGCTGCGAGACCCTTAAATCTTACAAGCAGCAGATCTTCCAACTGAATGTTGCCATTAAATCCCACTCGGAGCAGGTGGCCAGCCTGCAACGGGAGAAGGAGGAGGCTGCTGTCAGACAGAAGCAGGACTACCAGAAACTGGAGCAGGACCACCAGAAACTGGACAAGCAACTGAAGGACCAGTTGTACCAGGTGGAGCAGCAGCTCCAACTGAAGGACAACCGTGTCCTTAACCTTACCAAGGAGAACGAGGGTCTGTCTCAGAGACTGACTGAGGCCCTGAACCAGCTGCTCTACAAAGATGAAAAACTTCTGCAGAGCGAGAACTCCTGGCAGATCAGGTTCAAAGCTCTGCAGGAGAACTTGAATGACAAAGAGGACACCTTACAACAGGTGCAACAGGAGAAGAAGAACCTCCAGGAGCTCAGCATCCACACCAGGAGGGGTTTGGTCTCTCACAACAAGTGGGTGAAAAGTGGCCAGAAGACCCTGGAGAGGAAGACACGGAGACTGGAGAAGAAAAGAAAAATGAAAGACCTGAAAGAGAAGGAGAGTCTGTCCGCGAGGCTCTGTGAGACCGAGAAGGAGCTCACGAGGACCAGAGTCAACTTTATGGAAACCAACAAAGCATGGCAGCAAGAGTCCAGAGCTCTGCAGGACAGGCAGCTTGAGGACCTGGACCGGCAAAACCAGAGCTGGGACGAGAGACTCAAGCAGTTCGAGGACCAGTACAACATCCTGACACAGCAGGTTCACAGCTGTGAGGACCAGAACAAAATCCTGAAACAGCAGCTTCACAGCTGTGAGGACCAGAACAAGATCCTGACTCAACAGGTTCACAGCTGTGAGGACCAAAACAAAATCCTGACCGAGAAAGTCCAACAGCAGGAGGAGGAGAATAAAGTCCTCGTGGATAAAGACCTGCAGAAGAAGAGCAGGAGAGGCTTCAACATCTTCGGCAAGACTGGACGGAGAGATGGAGAGAAAAACAAGAAGGATAAAGCCACAAAAAAGAAAGAGAAGGAGGAGAAAAAGAAAAAGTAAAGAAAGCCAAGGAGGAAAAGAAAAAACAAGAAAAGGAGGAGAAGAAAAAAGAAAAAAAGGAGAAGAAAAAACAAGAGGAGGAGAAGAAAAAAGAAAAGAAGGAACCCAAGAAGAAGAAGGGTTTCATGCGCTGGCTGCTAAAGAAAGGCAACAGTGACAGTGAGGTGGAGGAGGCTGGAAAACAGTAGCTCCTCCTTCCTCCCCCCTTTACCTCGCCAAACCCCCTCCATTCCTCCTAACCCCCTCTCTCCTTACACCCTCCTTACCCCCTCTCTCCTTAAAACCTCCTTACCCCCTCTCTTCTTACCCCCTCTCTCCTTAAACCTTCCTTACCCCCTCTCTCCTTAAACCCTCCTTACCCCCTCTCTCCTTACCCCCTCTCTCCTTAAACCCTCCTTACCCCCCTCTCTCCTTACCCCCTCTCTCTTTACCCCCTCCTTCCCCCTCTCTCCTTACCCCCTTTCTGTCTTTACCCCCCTCTTTCCACCCCTATTCCCCCTTTCTCCCCCATCCTTCCCTTTTTCCCTTTGTGTCCTTGTGTCTGCATGGGTTTTCTCCTGGGTCTCAGGTTTCCTCCCACAACAACAACAACAAAAAAAAAAATACAGCAGACAAAACATAAAGACAAACAATTTGGCCACAACAACAACAACAACAACAACAACAACAACAACAACAACAACAAAGCAAACAAAAACCATAAAAACATAAAGAATTTTGCAATAAAAACAAAATAAAAATTGAACCTATTTCTGCCTGAGTCTGAATAAAGACCCCCAGTATAAATACGACTGTAAGACATTATGGTGGCTGTAAAGTGCTGCTGTCTGTCATCCGATATTGATTTTTAGATCTATAACCTCTAACATTTCCTCATCAAACAGTGCATAAACTCTAGAGCTATGTTCTATATGGAGTTGTTTCAATCAGTAATCTATAATCAATAATCAGTATATAAACTCTAAAGCTATGTTCTATATGGAGTTGATTCAATCAGTAATCTATAATCAATAAACAGTGAATAAACTCTAGAGCTATGTTCTATATGTAGTTGATTCAATCAATAATCTATAATCATTAAACAGTGGGTCAATCAATAATTTATAATCAATAAACAATGTAGAAACTCTGGAGCTATGTTCTGTATGTAATAGATTAAATCAATAATCTATAATCAATAAACAGTGGGTCTGTATCTGACATAAGCTTAAGAGACTTTCAGGTTTTGTCTTCCAACATAAAATCGTAAAAATGTGACCGTTGAAGCTTTTACATTTTAATAAAGTCGGTTGCTGGGAAGTGTGTGACACGTTTCATGAGGTGTTGAGCCTGTTTAGCCGCCGCAAAATGTAATCAAATGTTGAAACAACAAGGTGATGTTCGCCGCGTCGCTACGGCAACACAGTTCAATAAAAATTCATAAGATTCATAAGATGTCATTGTCAACAGTCTAAAGGTCTTCTGACTAAATTTCAGCTAGATGTGGTCAACCTGCTGGGAGAAATACATAAAAGTGTAATAGATTCCACCACAAGGCGGCGCTAGCACTTTTACTGAATATTATCGTATAGATGTGTTCAGGGCAGGACTCTTATCAGACAAGTGAAGTTTGGGGCCGATTGGGCTATGTACACTCAAGTTATAGCAGATTAATGCTCGGTACATCAAAATTTAACGCCACGCCACGCGTTCAACGACAACTCACCATATTCATCACATACATATTGGCAGGTAGACGTGTTAAGCCATTTTGCGACGCCCATCTACAGGACCAAGACATTACGTTAGCCTTCACCACGACTGAATTTTGTGCAACGTTTCATGAGTTTTGGGGCATGTTTAGCCCCCCAAAAAGTGGAAGCCGATTTTCGAAAAGTTCTTATGATTTATAAGATGTCATCGTCAATGTCCTAAGGAACTTCTGTCAGAAAATCAGCTGGAAGATACATAGAAGTATAAAAAATTACATTTCCTTTTACCACTAGGTGGCGCTCTCACGATTATATTATATCGCTCTCACGATTATATTATATTATATTTTAATTATATATTATTATATTATAATTATATATTATATTATCACACATATGTGTTCAGGGCGGGACTCTGAGCCAATAGGCGGTGCCCGGTCACGGGTACAAATGCATGCAAATGCATACGTTTTCACGTTTGAATTTTGTGCAAATTTTCCTGACTTTTTGAAAATGTTGCGGTCGAAGAGGTAGAAAAAAATAATTCCTACAGATACAATAGGGCTTGCCGACCAGTGCTCAGGCCCTAATAATTGTTACATCTACCCAAACTGTATGTATAACTATATTAATATAATTATTTTTAATGATATATTATTTTCATGTCTTGCATTGTAGCCTACTAAAGGATAGGGAATGGTTTCCTTGCTGCGGTCTGGTTTAAGAAGTTAAAAATGAACTCAGGTATAAATATATAAGATGTAAAAATTAAGGGAAACCAGAAACGCACAACCTCAGGCTTTGTTCAGTTTGTATGAAATTATGTGGATGGAGATATTGATAGCGCCATACTAGAAGGAATAGTATTACAGTGTTTGATCCTCAAGTATTCAGATGATAAGATCATACTGGCAAAAATGTTCTTGAAAAACTATACATTGTTAAATTTTCCATGATATAGTTGTCAGAGAGCTGAAATTAAATCTGTGTGCAAAAGCTATGTATGAAATTGTATCAACTTTACAACCTAAATATGATTGAACAAAAAAAGACAGGAGAAACTTACCTTTAACACTGGACTCTTTCACTTGCTATTCTTTTCCTTTCCCAATCATATGGAAGAAAAGACAACACATGCGTAAGAGGTTGGATTTTATTTAGTCCATTTTTAAAATTTACTTTTTCTGTCGAGATTCATTAAAAAGATAAAGCATCATCAGCTTTGCAGACCATATCACAAAGAGACTGCAGTAAGGAAAGAGTGAAGTAGAATGAAGATGACTTAGTAGGCACATTTTTCAAATGATACATGTTAATCTAATTGATGGCAAAATATGTACAGCAATGATTTGTTGACACATGCTTGGGACTTCTGAGTGAGAGTTCACAGGTTAGTAAAGCACAGATCTATGCAGACATAAAGACTTTTTCACTGTCTAGAAAAGATGCATCACGTCGACTACAGGAGGCAGTCAATTTCCCCAAAACTGTATGCCAGTTCAATTTGTAATAAATTAAACCTAAGAGGAGAGAGAAATTAGGGATTTCATGAACTTGTGAAACTAATTGACCGGCGCTTGTCAAACTAATTATTTTAAAAACAGACTTTTAGCAAATGTTCCTCCATATGAATCAAGAATACTGAGCTAAAAGTGGACACGACATCCACCTGATGAAATAACTTGAGAAATAAATTAGAAAATGGATAGTTGTATTAGTATGCATTTATAAAGAGTACCTGATTTTCTCTCTCTCTAGCCTAAGTTTGATACCTTTGCATAACTTATAGAAAACCTGTCATGTTCTTTTAAAAACTCACAGTAATTCATTCATTAATCATAAGTCCTGATACCACCGAAGTCAGGCACAGGATTCTACCCTGCAGAATCCATATACCTTCGAGTCAAACACGCTGGATATTCCATACAAATAAAGGACACTTTTCCTGTTTATATACATAACACTTTTGTACAGTCTTTGCACTTCCATTATAACAGATTGAAGCATCTCCACGTACAAAGTCAATGGAAATCAAATCATGTTCAGTGGATTAAACCTTGAGTGAATCCAAAGCTTAAATTGAGCACTTGGTTAGATGTAAAAGGAACGAGTTCAACTGCCTTTGCATCGAAAGAAAAAAAAAGTAATAAAACTCTGAAATTCTATCGTACTTGGTTATCTTAGGGATCAGGTTTGAAGTTTGCCTCAGACGCAGATCGGGGTCAGTTTCAGCCATCCACCGTAACTTAGTGAAAAAAAACTGTTAAACTGACCTGTGATCAGTGCCAACGGAAAAACATCACCAGACTCAAACAGGAGAAACTGAAAAAATCAACACTGTTAACCAGCTATCCTAACTAGTTGAGTGTTGCATTGACGAAATATTGTAATCATGTTATCAGGTGATTTCCCTTACACTCCAATACGACATCAAACAGCATTATAATTTAAGGAAATGTTAAAGTCTGGATCCGCTCACCGGCCACTGAGAGGTCAACAACAGAACAAAAAACTCTAATCCAACATAGGAGGCAGTGAATGTTCAAAGTTTGTGAGTCTGCTTAAGTCAAACCCCCGAAGACAAGTCCAGTCATTCCACCTGCTTTCATACTGCATACAGCTTATTCCTGGCTCACTCCCCTCCCTACAACTGTACACACAGTGCTGTCCTAGGCCGTGCAGCAGTGTAAACTAAAGACAGTTGAGTGGCTATGAAGCTCCACTGGCCCCTACGCACTAAGGATCTTGCTGAGGTGGAACATGACAGCTGGACCGTCCCAAAGCACAAACCAGAGCTTACACTAATGTAAAAGGCCCAGTGGTTTGGAGGTTTGGATGGTGGGTTGGCGTTTGGGACCACAGGGTCACTTGGGTCCTTTGGAAGGGGTGTCTGTCTCTGTGGATTGGCGGCCATCGTTCCAGGCCTCCCGGGTGCTCTTAAGGGCTTGTGTCCGTTGCTGATCCACAACCACGTAGTCAACGCGCTCATCTGACGCTGCCATGCCAGTTCCGTTGCTTTTCATCTGAAGAATGAAAACACACAAAAGCGTTGTTCTTAAAATTCCTTTAAACTGACTTCCTGTAGTTGTGAACACGCGGCTCCGGATGTGGGGGATTGATAAATTCCTACCTTCCTAGGTGGGGTAGATTTGCCAGGGTCAAGATCCAAATCCAGGTACTCCACCTGTTTGTCTCCTTTTGGCTTCACCATAGGGCTGCTCCCACCATCCGCAGTCATGGGCGCAACAAGCTTCATGTTCTACATAAGCCAGGAAAGGATGCTTTTATTGACAGAAGAGGAACTCTGAGGCGGTGTCACAGTGAAACAAAGCTCATATTTTGATTCAATATAGCGTTGTCACAATAACCAACATTTGTTTGCTAAGATTGCAAGAGATCTGACCGATATTTGATTTACCAAAAAGTTGGTACTTTCACAAAGCATATTCTGTGAGTCCAAACTGCATTCAACACACCAACAGAGGGTGCAGATACAGGTACAGAGGGTTGGAGATGAAAAAAAAAAATTACAGAATAAAAGACTGCAATGGACAATTAATGCAAAATACATGTGCACAGTAGTCCCAGTCCATAAAAACAGGTTGTTAAAACAGTGACAACAAACGGGTGACACTGTTGTTTTATCAGTGAACATTCAGTCTAACTGGTTCCCTTTCTGACAGGCACCAGACTGGCAAGGTTTGTTCACTGAAGCATGGTTCGACCATTTCGCTGATACAGCCAACAAAAACTGGCACCAAATCAACATGCCAAAAATCCAGTTGCTTTCAAAGCTGTCCAATAAAAGACAAATAACTTTGCAAAGCAACTCTGATTGTAACATATCTTCATTTGAATTCTGACAAGGTTTTTGGGACCTGTTCAGATTGCAGAGTTTCTGTTATGTTTTTGTTTAGTTTAGTTTATGGTCATTCCCACATTGTCAAATAAAGCAGTGGTTCATTGACATTACTTTGTGTTTTCCTTTCTTTTTGCTATGACATCTTGACATCAAATTTAAGATAAGGAAAGAGTGTAAATATTAGAAGAACAAGTCCAATTCCTGGTATTGTGACAACACTAAAAGGTACATGTTTGGCCTATAGGTAGTGTTAATGTCTAACTACAAGTTGGGTGGAGTTATTAGCACTATGGTGGTGACAAAACTAGGAAATACTAATTGTAAGAAAAAGTGATTGTGTACAGCATCTAAAAATCACTGCAAACTGTATCCAAGCCACAGCTTCTAGCTGATGTTGAGGGAGTGATAACAGCACAACAAAGTATGTACTATGCACTTCTGATCTAATAATATCTGCAACTGGTAACCTCTGGCATTCTGACAGGGTAGGCCATGCATGTCTAACCTGGCAACCCTGCTCACCTCCTCTATGGTGTCAAGTTCCTCCACCTCCCTCTTTACAGGGGTGATGGGGACTGTGCAGTAGAAGGACTCCTCTCTACACAGAGCAAGAAGGAAGTAGTGACAAAGACAAGAAGAGAAAAGCAGATGGTCAAGAACAAAATGCAAGAAAAAGAAAATGGATGAAGCCAGGGCCTAAGGAAGCCAGAGAAATGAGGAACTAGGGAGAAAGAAATAAACATGAGTGATGAAAGAACAGGAAGTCAGCAGACAATATCAAAGCAAATGTTGGAAAAGGTTAACAAATTGTTACAGCAAGAAAAAAAAAAATAGGAAAATGGTACATCGAATACCCAAACTGTGAGAGAAAGAATCCCTGTTGACAGAAATGGTGTCCCATCAGTGTACGGCTGATGTGCCTAATATTATTCTGGGTACATTTGTGCCTGCTTCCCGCAGACATTACTGAATGACTAAAAAGACACCTAAACTCAATTCATTTTCCAAAATCCAAAATACCAAAAGGGATCTTTTGAACTACAGAAAGGGTACTGCTTTGACAAGACAAGCTTTTTTTTTTAAAAGAACACAATACCTGAAATGCAAAAGAACAAAGGAAAAGAGAATAAAGGAAGGAGGGCAGCAGGACAAGAGGAAACTGCAAAGAAAAGAGTTGAAGTGTCGAGGAGTCCGTCTGCAGCAACAAGTGATTTGCCCACACTAATGTATACCTTAGGAAATGGGATTTCTGCTAACAATTACAGCTTGACATTCTCGGCTGCATGATGTTCAACCCTGAAAACTTTGTCTGCCTCATACGCACTGTATTTATGGTGCATCTGTTGTTAAAACTTTCTTTGTAGATTTTATGATGTAAAATTGGTTCAACAAACCACAAAAGACCACATCACAATAAAAATAAAATTACATTAAGCAGATTGTTTACTGTAGTTTTGATTATCTGTGATTTGAGAGGTATAGAAAAGGTAATCATGCAACTTCAGAGGATAGTTGTGTGTTACATACTGGTTCATCTGTGGACATGACTACATAATTCTCCTCAGTGTCCTCGGAGTCAGTGCTGGAAGCCGTACTATGCACTGACGGGGGTCTTGTTGGCATTGGAAACCTAGAGAAACTGAGCAGCATTCACAATGTTTACACACTGACTTCGAGGCAAAGGCAGTGTCTGGTGAGCACAAAATATAATACAGACATAACAGGCACGACTATAAACCACTGCAGCCTGAAGAGTCCCTGCAGCACTAAGCACAGAAATAGACCTCATCCCAGATAAGCCAACAAACGGCATTCAGTATAATGTAGTGTAGCTCTGAGGCATATCCCAGACTGGTTTGTTTGAGCAGTGTTACTTTGGTAACAAAGTGACTACAGTAATGCATGGCATGTTAGTGCCTACTTCTTTAGTTAATTGTATCTACTACATAAGGGAATGTTCACACCAAATCTCAACTGTGTTTTGTGTTGGAAATATAACAAGCAGGTAGGACAATGCACAACAACATCAGCTGCTTTAGGCACCATAAGATGATGCACAGCAATTTGTTTTTGTAGTCCCATGTCGTACTCCTTTATAAAGTCACATTTTTCTCAACTTAGAAAAGCACTCCACTCTTGTCGATGAGATGTGAGGCACAGTGTCTGTTTTGAGACCGCCTCCCACACTTGAACCCCCCCCAGGGCTGATAGGAAAGCAGAGAAGTGTGAACATGCCCTTAGTTGTTGTTAGCAAAATGTAAATTTATGAAAAATGTTGCTGAACATTTTAGATACTTACTCCCGAGCGAATGACCGTGTGACAGGCGAGCGGACAGGTGTACAGGGCTCCTCCCATTCTGGCAGTGGTTTAATCTCCAGTGGAGCAGGTCTTCCTGAAGCAAGGTACACATAGCAATCAGTCCGTGCTTAAGACACATACTTAATTTACATGTAAGTAAGGCTGACAAAGGTCAACGGCAGGAGTTTTATATTATGTGGAATTAATGTGTTCATAGTGTTTTGGTTGTTTTAATCATAACTTTATAAAATGTTTCTAAGGCAGATCATGACTGGAACAAATGACACAATGAATGTATATGTAAACCATACAAACATTTCTCACTATATTTTCAGCTTTTATAAAAGAAAATCCTACAAACAAAACCTAGAAAATTAGATTTTAAAATGCCATTTGCAATGCAACTCTGGTTTCATAATGTATTGCCTTACAAATCACAAATGACTCATTTCCACTCCCCCAATATATCCCTTCAATTTCTATCACCCAAAAAATATATCTTCATCACAAGCAAATTTTGTCTTTTGCAAACTGAGATGAGATTTTTGTGATGTGTGAAGACCAAGACATTAAATCTGTGAAATGTAGTTTGAACCATTAAGTTTCCTTTAAAAGGGTGGGAAAACAATAAAAACAGAAAACAATGGGCCTGTATGTACAATGCAAAATTGTGTGTAATGTAACAGCTTACATGTTATCACAACCTAATATGGCGACTCACTATACAGTAGATGTTCACCATAGATTCTCATTACCCATGGCTTCTGTGACTAAAACATTGTAAACTACATACTTATGAAGCCACTGCTCTCTCTTTCATAAGATGATATCTCTGTTCAATTTCCTCCTGAGCAGCTATCTACTACTTTCCAGAGCCATGTGAGTGTTTTTGTGACAATAATTCTGTTTTGGCTGCTACCTGTGAATGTGTGTTTTTGGAAGCACAGTATGTGAGAGAAAAACATAAAATGAAATGTTTGAGAAGAGAAATGTTAGTAAGTTATTTGGTTGACTGCATGTAAGTAGTCACAATAGAGTGAGATATTTAGGTTTATTTTTAAAAGCATGTTGTGACTGCTCACGAGCTTCAAAATGGTATCGAGTGAAATCCACCATGCATGAAGTGCACACTCATCCCCCTCCTGCTGGGATTTAAAATAATAAGACTGGATTAATGTGACAGCTCTGACACCCATGTTATATTTTTAAACCTATTTGGGTATCTCCAGAAGTATGAAAAGGTACAGTTAAATTGATTCTGGGTTTTCACACAGTTAATCTTTTATAGCACCAGCAGGCCTGAGAAACAAGAGAAATCCCACAGTACACTATTGAAAACATGCAAAGAGTCAAGATGAAGCAGAGTTTGGACAGGTCAAAGAATGGAAGGTTTTCAGATACACAATGGCAGTTCAGTGTAGAGTACCTACCCTTGCGTCGTCCCCTCGGGAATTCACCTACGGTTTGAGAGTCGGTTCGCTCTAAACCGACACCTTTTGCTCTTATTATTTTAGGACTCTGACCTGATTGGTGAAAGAAGACTTTGCTTATTATAAAATTTTTGGTGATCACAACAGTTAAGCCCTACTGTAACAACCGCCCTGCCATGCAAAGCAAAAGACGAGACTTTGCTGAACAAAACTACACCCTCATGTACACCCAATCACCTTTTCTGTGCAGCACAGTTATCAAGAGGATGATTGTCATGACAACAGCAGACCCATACTGCCCAACATGCACCTCACTCCATGCACCACGGCTTCCCACACAAAGACTGACATCACAGCTGTGCATGCACGATGAGCTGTGTATAAGCACTGAGAGTACACTGAGAAACCATGTCATGTTGAGAAGAGCACACACAAATCTGCAGAACAGAGTAACTTACTGACGAGGCACATTCTGTAGCTCCTTTTACATTAACACACTGATAACAACATTTTTCTGCAGTGCTGACAAGAGCAAAAACCTAAATGTGCCGCAATCTCAAAGAAAGATAATTCATTTCAGAGAAATCACATATCATAGTGTTAATAAAGTAAAAGCTGTTTGCCGGCCTTGAACACAGATGTCAAAGCCTTCACTACATACGGCTGAAACAACCGAAGTAGAGAGAGAGAAAGAAGTGCAAACAGGATGAACATAGCTGGCAGTGAGTTGAATTAGTCCACAGTACAGAGGAATTTTGCATGGCTCATGGTAAATAAAGAAAGTAATCATATCCAATGAAAAATCAATAGGAGCATGTTATATTCTGTTCATTTAAAAATGTATTTGCCCACAGAGTTTAGCAAATCCAAGTAGCTTGAATCCAAGATCCAAGTTACCCAGCACGTTAAGTGTTAAATGTAAGTGGGATTGAGTGTTGAATCTAAACTATGATAATAATTCATGTTTGTTTAGCACCTTTCAAATAATCAATTACAAAGTGCTGTACATTAAAACATTAAAATGCATCAACAATATGCTATTAGAAGAAGAACCCCCGCCCCCCCCCCAAAAAAAGACTTAGACATGATACATTTGTGTTTCTTAGCTCTCCTAATAAAACCAAAACAAATACAGTGAAGACAGACAAGTAAGATCCTGTGAGAAACAGTACAGAACAAATAGAAACTTGGAATTGCTGGACCTGAATGAGATAAATTAAGTGATAGATAGCAAGAAAAATTAAGAACGACACAGCTACAAATACAAAAGGGGCAATAGTTTTTTACTGTCGTACCTTTCTGAAAATTCTTGAAAGCAAACTTGATTCTATGACCAATGCATCAAAATATTCTGTAGCAGATAATTACACATTTTTAAAGGCTGATTTTCTTTATGTGAGAGAATTGGTCAACCACAATAGTGCTGATGAGCTGCTTAGAAATTGATTTGCTACTGGCAGCGATGATTTTGGAGTCGAGACAGACGGCTTTGAGTAATGTTTTTTTGGTGGCCTGTAGTATAGCAGCCGGATGATTTGGAGTAAAACAGTATTTTTTTGTAACTGTTAGTCATTACAGTCCAGAGACGGTGCATGCCAAATCTGGAGATGACTGGCTCAAAGGTCACGGGACCAAAAAAGAGCAAAAGTTGTGCATGGGAGGATTCCCCACTGGGAAATGTAGAAGTCCATAACATGTCCTATTTTCTTCAGCGACAATAACAGCCCTGGCTTTTAGTTTGCCTACGTGATGACTCCCTGTCTCTCTGACATCCTTCAATTCTCTTTCTCTCTTTGCCCATTGCTCAGCCTTTCAATCTGCCCAGATTGTAATTCCCTTTGCTATTAGGTCTTTCATCAAAGAGCTCCATTCAGATGAAGGGAACAAAGGGGACGGAGGTGACCACTCCGGGCTTCGGTCACTCCATGGCACAGGGACCAGCCCCCTCCAAAATGGTCTACAGGGCCTCTTGAGCTCGGGACAAAAGTGCTTTTGACAAGGAGCTTACTGTGTTGGATGTAAGAGGATGTAGCAGGCACTAAACTAATTCATCAAGAGGTGAAATAAGCTAGTCAAGGACAGGCGCAGAGGAAGATGGTTGTATTTAATACACCAGAAAAACCAAGGGCAACAAAATGAGAAAACATTTTTCCACATCAATAACAACTACTGAAGTATGAAGAATAAAGACACTGCTTTGAGAATGGATGGAAAAGTTTTTTTTTTACAGATGGCTTTATGACCATGAGCCAGCACTGTGAGAATAGCAGCTGAGTGTGAGACAAAGCATGGTCAGTTGTTGCATTAGTGAATACCGAGCATACTGGAAAATGTTAAGTGCAACAATAAACTTCAGCACACATCAACCCTGCAGCAAGAACTTAACAAACCTATAGAACATTTATGATCCTAGTCCCAGTTATACATGCATGCACACCCATCGGCCTCTCACCTTTGCGATCAGGTTTGAGATTTCGGTCGACAGGTGGGGGCTGGTCACCGTGCACTGGCCTGCGAGGAGGGGTCTTGGGACTGGAGCGAAAGCCCATGTGGGCGGGTGGGGGGACCTGCTTTCCGAGGGAGGAGAACTCCATGGTGCTTGGGGTCATGGGCACATAGTTCGCTTCGTGCATCGGCTCTGGCAAACTGCCCGAGTGATGGTGTGATGGGGAGTTGGCACTCATGGGTACATAGTTCTGGTCTACCTCCTCTGTGGACTGGCTACCCACTGGCATCATTCCTTTGTTTTTCTGTGGGAGACAAGGCATACATACAGGTTCACAAACAGAGGACAGACCAAGATTGTACACGGCTGCCTCTAAACCTTATTGTAAGCCAAGAAGCACCAACAGTTAACTGGGTAACTGTAGGCCCAATATGTTTTGGTAAGGCGCTTGTTTTCCTTTGTGAGTACGCCTACATGTGTATGATTCTCCAAAAAAAAAAAAAGTTAATAAATACACTGCATGTAGCAGGCTTGTTTATGTAGCCGTGTATTCTATTGGGCAGCAATAAAGAAAAACAGAATACCATAATCTATTAAATCATGCTGACGTGACATTTGTTAGGGTCTGTATCAAACACGCATTTTCTTATATCTGGAACATCTGTAGGCCAGGGGCTCTCTGCAGCATTACAGTACTTCATTATAATGCTGCTTTGTCACAAATTTTACCTTTATTATGCAGCTTCTGTTATTTGGATGTCGTATTTGTCTATACTGTGATTTTGATATTTTTTTAATCAGCCAATTTTCCCATGAAAACGTCCCTTTAAACAGTCTGCCAGTACGTGAAAGCACAGCAATGTTCCCAAAACAGAATTGGGAGCTCATACACTGGTGAACCTTGGAAGAAAACTTACAAAGTAGCTGCTGAGGTTCTCATTGAACTCAAATGAGCAGCTTTTGTCAGAAGGGAATGATCTAGGTATGTCGTAGCAATCCTGGGATCCAAAATCTGCAAAAAAAATCAATAAAATTACCAAATATACACATAATTGCAACATACATACTGCAGCTTTATGGGATTAGACATTTAGTACTCAGTAATTTCATCAAACACAGGACAAACTATTAGCCTACACTTCCCATATCAAAGCTATATGCCAAATTTCAAGCTGCTTTAAAAAGGTCCAGTGTGTAACATTTAGGAGAATCTATTGACACAAAATGAATATAATACTTTCATTGCTGCATAATCACCTAAATATAGGAATCTTTGTGTTTTTGTGATCTTAGAATGAGCCGTTTTTATCTACAGACGCCTTACATGGAGTCCGCTATGTTGAACTGGCATATACAGCAGGCCAGAAGGGACAAACCTAACTGGCTCTAGATAGGGATGTTTTCAGTTTTTTCGTAAGTTCTTCACGCTTTTAAAGGGAGGGGTAAGCGAGGGAGTTGCTATGTGCAATTACACCGCTAGCTGCCACTAAATCCTACACACTGGACCTTTAAGCTATAGAATAATCTCAATAATACACACAGTAGAGATCTAATCAAAATGTTTTCATGACTCTGTAAAGATTCTTTTATTCAGTGGGATAAAGCTCAGCAGCTATATGTAAGAGCTCTACTGTGTAGCCCATTATTATTGTTTTTGCAATCTCATTAGGCACTGATGCAGTCACTAATGCATTTCACTTACAGCCACAAGAACCACAGCAGAGCTAAGAGAGGTTTGTAAGGCAAATGAGAGTGTCAGCGGAGGAAGACTGAGTGGGGGAAGACCATGAGCGGGAATATTTACAATGAGAAATGTCATTACTTTGAAATATTGTAGCTGCCCTCTAAGAAACAAAAATTCACATAAGCTGGGTTCAATGGTTCTTTAACATATTTTCATTTAGGTTCCCCTCACCTCTGGATACACTCGCCTGTTTATTGGTCATCAATAAATCCTTCAACCCAGTCACGTTTTGGGAGGAATATTCACAACAACAACGACTTCATTCAACATAAATTCACACACCTCATCTGACGAACCTGTCATGTTTAGTATTTTTGCAATGACTACTAGTCTGAAAGCTTGTGTGTGGCACAGGTAAGACTAAAAATATACTAAGTTTCACCAAAGACTTGAGGCTCTCTTGGGTTTTTGTAAAAAATAATCTTGCCACTAATACCTCTGTAATGACATTTATCACCACAAGAGGGAGGAGTAAGTGGAAGAATATATGTTGTGTCCCACCTTACTCCATAAGTTTCTCTCTTCTTGTCAGAAAGTTGTATTCTATCTATTTTAAGCCTTTCTACAAAGGGTGCCGTCCATTGATTGGTGTTACAAACGTAAAGTGTTCTAATTAGATCTACTTTACTTTCTAATTTTATTCAACTGTTACTATAAAATGCATCTCTTGCCTATTCAGAAGAAGATAATACAGTATTTTAAACATCACATGTATGTGTCTTGTGCTGTTAGATTTACAGAACAGCACCAGTGCTCCATAGTTAAGTGACAGCACAGTGAATGTACAACAAAGAAGGCTCTGCTAATAACTAGCCAAAGATATCTGTGGTTTCCATGATGCAACAGAAGGCTTGTATTTGTCCACAAGTGAGGGCATATGGAGATGATTGTTCATATAACTTGCTTTCTTTTAAATGTTAGAACTGAGTATTATAACCAATATATATGGTCGGAACTGCTGCTCAAAGTTTTCTTAATTGTCAAGACTCTTAATCACCAAGACCCTAAAGACATCTGCAGAAAACCGTCTGCTCCGTGTTCACGTCTGATAAGCTTTTGACAGTTTGAATGGATTGTGAACAGAAGAGTAAAGAAGATGAAAATAGGGATTGCAGCCGGAAGAAAACATGCCAAAAGCTCCGGTGATGTCTCTTATCATCCATCAAAAGAAAGTGAAAAGGGTACAGAATGCCCACATAAAAGCTGTGCAAAAGCCTTATAAGGTCATTTATAATGTCTAGATGATGAAAAATATCATTCCACATAAAGGTCAAAATCTTATACAACACTTTGTGAATGTGTGTCCTATTAAACGCTATATTTAAATTGAAATATTTTAAGATCATGAAGAAAATGTTCTAATTTCATAGCAGTTTCGCAATGCATAAAAAAATCTCTAATCACACAACAACAAAAAAGAAAAAAAACAAAACTCTCCCCGACACAAACCTTTGCGGATGCGTGAACAGTCCACAGTGCCAATAGTGTTGCTGCGTAAAGCCTTATTCCCAGCACTAGTAGGCACACAGTAGTTTCCATCCGTCTCTGACGCTGAGCGGGGCACACAATAGGTGTCCGTAGGTGAGCGCTCAGCAGGGGGTGGCGGGGGTCCTGAGGTGGAACTGAGCGAAGGCTTGGGTGGTCTGGGAGGGGGTACTACATCTCCCCCACCCTCTGAGCCTACTACCCCTGTCGACATTGACAAAGTGCGGGGCACCTGGTAGGTACAGTTTGCGCCAGGTGTTGGTGGGATATCATAACTGATGGAAAGGTTGCGGATCTGTGTCTCCATTGAGGGCTTCCGTGATGGTGTGTTGAAGACATAGAGCTCAGAGCCATCCCCGCTGTCCGGATGGGCTGAGGGGGAGGAGGCTGACTTAGGGAGCAGCACAGTGTCCTGGGAGTAGCTGCGAGGGAGGTGGTAAAGGCCGCTGTCAGTTGAGAGCGAGGCACCGCGTGATGGAGGCGAGTCGTAGATGGAAGAGGCGGAGGCAGGGGCCGGGTGCTGTGGGAAGAAGCCGTTGTGTGAGGTGTGTTTAGCCGAGGAGGTGGAGGATGTGGGCGTGCGGTGAGAGGGGAGGTTGTCATTCAGGTCCGTCTCTGAAGAGGTAGACTTGGAACACTCAGCATGGGCTCTAACAAGACAATAAACAGGTACATCAGAGAATTAAATATCTACAATTGATTTAAAGAAGCTAAGAAATCCATTCAGTCAGAGTAAGCCTTCACAGCACTGTCTGCAAGCCATAGTTAGTAACCTGAAATTATACACAAACATCTCTTATCATTCATCTTTGACACCTCTTGACATATTAGCACCTCTTTTGGGGTCAAGTGGAGGACTGAGGTACTTGGGTCATTTCTAAACATGCGGGAAATGACTAAATTAATACGGTGTTAAGTAAAGTACAACTCAGTCTGTGCTGATCTATAACAAATCCAGCAGCAATAATCATCTACAGATGCCATGTTAATTTACAGCAAAGCAATTTTTGATGTGTTTTTGTTTTTCATGTCTTTGTTTTGTTGTACATGTGTCGCACTTCACACAAGCAGGCAGTTCCAGCTGAAAGGCTGGCCACTCACAGACTAGTCTGGGGTGGAAGAGTCTTGCTCTCACACTCCTCCAGGAGCAAATACTCCTGGTCTCCCTCCAATGGAGAGTGAAGCTGCACTGAGCTACACACCACACAGCAGAGAGAAGGGCGAGAGTGGCAGTACAAAAAAAATAAATGGGCTGGAAAAATGTACAGAGAGAAGCTTATGTCACAGTATAGCACTCCAGCACAGTGAATATAAGCATACATTGACAAAACAAACTCACCTGTTGGGTTCAGGCTTTTTGCTCTCACAGTTGACCAGCCACAGGTAATCCTGAGGCTCCTCTGAACTGGACTGAGAGTCCAGGTGTCGCACACTGACCGGCTGGTATGGAGGTGGCACATTGGACAGCACTGCTGCTGGACCAACAATATTACCCAGTGCTGGGTGTGGGGGGGTATCCACCACAAGGCCTCCGATGGCTGACTGGTGAGCAGCTTTTGCTGCCTCTGGAGGAAACAAATGAGAAGGTCGGAGTTAATTCCAGCATGGCTATGTTTATGTGTAATCCCCAAACCACGTGTGCCACAAAGTATTGAAAGGACAAATACAGTACAGGTTTTTCTACAGCTGACTACAGAAGACATGGGCCACAGTCACTGAATTAATGATCACCCCCACTAAAACCAGAAGAAATGAAAGCACTTGTATGAAATAAGGTCTCACCCTTCTGGGGGGGAGGCAGTGGTGTCATTTTATACAACAAAAGGCTGTATAATGAATGAGTTATTGTTTAGACTGTAATCAAGTGACAAGTGATCAAAAAACGAGATGTCATCAAGATCTGTCACCCTTAGCTCAGCAGATGTCAGTGAATGACTGATCAGGCTTACACACGGTACGGTGGCTTTGTGGTAAGTAATCGGGGCAGCAACCACATTGTTGTACATTTGTATTTCACATTTTTGTTAACCTCGTGGCTCCTAAAGAAGCCCCAGACATCCAAGGAAGTTGGGCACTTCTCCTGTTGTGGACGTGTAAAGCCTATTGAGACAGTGCAGGTGATGTTGGTGACTGATGATATTAGGCAGAAAGTAAACAGCAAGCTGTGTTTGCCAATGTCAACTCTGGCAGAGTAAACTTGGACCCAAGCTGTTTCCTAGCAACCCAATTCCAATGTAACAGTCTATAGTCACCAGCAGCATTTTGACTGACACTACCTCAACTTCATGTCTCTATAATGTCCGCGTTTGAGCAGCTGATGTGTGTAGGCTCGCTCTGATGAACAACTCAAGGACAGATCTCAGATATCTCTTTGGAATAGCTCGCCACACACTCTTTATTAAACTCAACCCCAAATCAAAGCTGTTAGCCTGCAGCTACGACACAGAGTGCCTCTTCTTAACTGATCCAATGAGCCAGAAGAACCTATAGCCTCACTTCCTACTTGGGTGGATCCTGGGGGAAATAAACCTTTTCAAATACAGCAGGCTGTCCAGCTTAACGTGGAGGACATTATATGTCTGTGAAGTGTGACATATGTGTGACAAGATTCCCTAAATAACACTGGCAATATCAACTTGAAACACACAGAAGACACCATCAAGAATTAGTATTTTCATCCATTTTCCATCATTTTCATGTCCAACACATACACACATGAAACCTACTTAAAAGCTTAATTTTTTTTGTCTGGAGTCTGAATATGGTGCCTTCAGAATCCCACGCACTCCTTCTCAGACAGCATTTCCTCAAGGTCTCTGCTTTGTCACACTGAGTTTTCAAATGTCAGAGTCCTTTTCAAACCCTTCTGCTGGAGCTGATTGTTGCCAAGATGGCTGATGCGTATGCTTGGTGAAATATATATATATATATATATATATATATATATATATATATATATATATATATATATATATATATCTTTTCATTCCACGTTGTTCTACTTTTCTCTCCTTTTCACAGTTCTCCTCCCACTCCACAACTCACAAGCCCCCCCTCCCCCTTTCTCTTCTTTTAAAAGTATAGAAATGTACTCACTCTTTACAGTGCATTATTTGCTCCGCTCTCCTTGGCTATCTTCCCTTTTCTCTATCAGTTTGTTGAAGCTTTAAGTGCTGATTCATACAGGAAAAGGGAAAATCCCCTCTGCTCATCTATAACTCCTACACACTGTCCCTCAGAGTCTTTGTTCCCCCTAATGTTCCCTCCTCTAATATCTGTCCAGCTATGAGGCACTCTAACGTGGCCACACATGACAGAGGAGTGGGAGTTGGGTCTCACATGCAGAGAAGTGTAAGCATGCGCAAAAGGGAGAGCCAGGGACATTCTTTTGTATTAAGAACTGTGTGGAAGGCTATCTGCAAGGATATTTGTTTGTAGTTTCTCCTTGAATAGGCTTACTGTTTGTTTGCACATCCGGGTTTTAACAGCCAGTTTCAATAATTCTGCTGAAGAGGTGCCATGAATGTTGTTATCAGGGTTCCCTGCAACTCTAGCTTTGTAACAGAGGTGGAGGCAAAGTCACAATACTGTGGAGGGGACGACCTTGGAGCAGCATAATCAGTGACTCAGTTGCCAGGTTTGAAAAGCACATTCTACTCCTACAAGAAACTTGGTGGCGTGATATGTCAGACAGTAAATCAGTGAAACACCAATTCACAACACATTTAATCGAGGATGGGGACAAACTATCGAAGACCAAGACGGAGGTGCGAATAGCGGAGCTTGAAATTAGGCTCAAAGACGCGGAGAGAAAGAGAGGGAAACAAGAGTATGCAAACGAGAGAATGAGAACCAGATAAGAGGGAAAGAACGAAAGAGGGGCAGTGAGACCGACAGGCACACAATGCTTTGATTATCCAGTACTGGGAACAAGAGTAACGTGAGCCTCAACACAACACAAGGATCAACACATGGATCATTAGACCTCAGCTGAGAACTATGCTGAATAGAGGCTTTCTGGCACATTCAGCCTGTTCACCTAACTCCTTCAGAGAAAAAGAGGCACAGATATCTGAGAGGCACAACAGTGGCATCAAAACAGAGACCAATCAAATGTACAGTAATTAGCAGGTGGGCTAATATTGTGTTGTTTAAGCCTTGCAGTATATGTTGTATGCTTTTTTGTGGTTGTGACCTGCAGCCTTTCATGACCAGCCGTTATGACTAATATTCTACAATTTTAACAGGATATTAGTCAACAGCAATATGATACTGCTGGTCATAATATAAACACAGTGCTTTTATCAATGCAATCGCAGTCTCTAGCCTCAGAGACAAAGATAGCAGCATAGATGTTTTCAAGCCTGTTCATCATTGCTTTTTGGCAGTACAGATGTAATCTGCCACTTCCACCCCTACTGGAGACCTCACTTCTAGTTTGTTCCATAAAAACAGGCTTTAAAGACATAAGCAATTAAAGGGGATTTTCCTGACTGACTGATATTATATTGATGGGTGGCAGCAGTGATGTGCTATCAAATGCCCATCCTTACCGTCATCAGTGGGGTTAAAACCACAGATGTCGCAGATGCAGCGAACCCACTTATTCATCTCCTCTTCGGTGTCAGCCACCAGGTAGAAGACACGGTCAATGGTCTTGATGTCGAATATGAAGCTGTGCTCCAAATCCTTCTTGTTGAACGTCAGCCCAGCGTCCACCTGAAAGGGTAACAAACATATTAGTTTAATATGGCATCAGTCAAGAAAAAAAGACATGACTGAATTTACAGCTGGTCAAAGAGAAATGTACATGAAAGTGACAAGTAGACTGATGATTGACTGATTCGTAAGCGAATCATCATTTTTACTCAACTTTAAAAACATTCCCAAGTTCCAGCTGAATTGTCAGATTTTACTTAGTTTCTTTGCATTATATGATGAATATGTTGGCATCTTGGACTAATTATTTGAAGACTTTGCCTTGGGCTAGAGAAAATTGTGACTGCTATTTCTTTTATTGACTAAACTAAAATAGATAGATAATATCATTGCATCTTAAACCCTCCAAGATTTTTTTGAGTTAACTCTAGTTTGTGTTCTTTGGCAACGATGACTGCATTCAAGTTACACCTATAAAAGTTACATAGTTTTCCACAAAAATGCATAAATGTCAAATATTTTTTAAATATTAGCAGCAAGGCTCAGGGTTTTAAAAGTTCAACTTTTATTGGTTTTTGAGGAAAAGGGGAAAAGGCTAATATCTGTGTCTTAAATGGCTACATGAGGGGATAAATTGTGACACTGTGTGTGAAACTCTGTTAAAATTGGACTTCTTCAAGCATGAATCATATATGCATAAACATGGAACTGGGCTCTTATGCAGGTTGATGGTAATTAGGAACCATACCTGCTCACACAAGTTAAGATCAATCACACGGATGGGCTTCTTGGCATGGTCATTCTTGTAGTACTCCAACACGTCTGGGTCGCCTGTCAGACGGCCACTGCGAAGAACAAACCACCGCTTCTTCCATGCCTGCAGGGTGAGCACAGAAATGAGGCCAAAGGTTATATGTGTGTTCTCACAATGACTGCTCCATTCCCAACTGACCACAGGCTGGCCAAATGCTTTATTTTTCCAGTTTAGCCAATGTGTCCTAGCATAGCTTGTGTCTCTGTGTGCATTCTCGACCAGCTGCACTGCCCTCACTGAAGAATACTCAGAGCCAGAGGGAAGAGGCCCGCAACCAGAAATATGTGTCTGGGATAACCAGAACAAAAGCCACATAGTTTGGTCTAGCACCCTGATTGGGGCGAATAACCAAATCTATAAAGAGAAACAGGCAATTAGGTCTTTTCTTTCAAATGGGAGCTGTTGTCTGTGAGAAAAATGCACCACAAAGCAGACAGGAGACTTTAAATTCAAGCATAGCAGACAGAGAAAAAAAAAAGAGATTGAGTAATATAATACTTATCCTAATTATCCTTATTATATGGGATAATTGAATATATCAGTTCATAGATTCAGAATACAGAGCTATTTTACTGGCAGAAAAAAACAAACCATACAGCTTCAGAACTTGTTTACATATCATGCATAGCAGTCATATCATGGGTTGTTGTTTAAAAGATAAAGGTTGGTGAGAGGGAAGAAAGCCTCTTCGGAGCTTCAAAATAAATATGAAGCAAGAAGCAAGAAATAATTTTGGCCCTACACTGACACTGTGCCGTTTTAAGATTGTGTTTTCCACCTCATGGTGTTTGTAGTTTTATTTAGAGAACACATCCAGCAGTGATTCATTTAAATGCAGACTCAATGGGGTCATGAACTTGTGATTTTGTTGAGTCATGGCAGTTCAGCTGAATGTTTTGCTTTAGAGCTCAAAATAAGGTCTCCACAAAATACTAGCAAGACTTGTTTGAGCAACTGCTGGGTGATATAATAAGAAAGGGGGTTTATTCAAAAATGATTTACTTCCTTGTATTGCTAAAGCTAGCAAAGTAGGCTATGTATGGACACTTTGTGTGTGTGAATAGGTAGTACGAAAACAAAATCTGATGATCAACTGAGTACCAGAAACTTTCCCAGTGCTATTTGGAATGTGAGTTTGAAATGATAGACAAGACCCGGTAGACAAACAACCACCACTGAGATCAGACAGATCAGGGTGCATACCAACAGAGTGTGAGGTATGCAAACTAAAGCTTTGCTGTTGTTGTTTTGGGGTAAGATTTTGCCGGTATTAATAATGCTGAGGGCTTGAGTTTTTCATCCCTTAGCTGTTTTTCCATCTACAGGGTGTCCTTTGTTAGCGGGCCAAGCCCCGGACAGAGACAGCATGAAGAGCATCAGACCTTTCCCTCCACAAACAGAATGAAGGAACAAAGCCCTTCAATTTTAAGCCGCAGGCACGCGGACGTGTCACATGGACAAACACACTAAAACATTAAATAACACACAGTTACATACAAAAAGAAAACAAAATCACATCCCACACTGACATATTGCACTCACGCATGTAGCACATGTTTCACACACTGTAGTTCAAAAGGACTGCATTATATAATCACAAACACACCCACATAGTCCAAATGAGGCTTAAACCTATTAAACCTACCTCCTTTGAGACAGGCCCACTTAAATACCAAATTTAACTATAAAAGCTAAAGTGAGTGTGCAAAAAAACACCACTGATGTGTCTGTGTTGTGTTGGTCAGACAAAGACGGTGGGTGTGGAGAGGGAACCTCTTTCTCCGGCACATGACAAAGCAATCTTGGGTCAAGTTACCCTGTGGGGAACAGAAGGACCCAGGGCTTAGGTTACAGCGAGGCCAGGCCCGCCCATGGTGAGTGTTGACAACTGGGTAAGTTGTACATGCTAAAGAACGACGCAAGTGAGACCTGTTTAACAAAACTGCTTAACAGACATGGAGTAGAAATCCCTTAAAGTTCACACAAGAAAACAACAGGTCAATTACAATTAAGAGATAAAAAAGGAAACCAGGCACTATATACAGTACTCACTGGCTATGATAAGCAGTTTCTGCACAATTACAAATCAAACAGCTCCACAAGCAGCATAATGTAGACACCCAGAGATCATAAAAATGGGCTGCTATAAAAGGACAGCCCCTTTATAGTGGCACAATAGAAAGAAAAAGTCATAAAAAACACACTGAATCTGGTATATTAAGTATATAAATCTAATCTTATAATTTAATTATCAAAATGGAAGAAATTGGCATAGAGAGTACAAATATTGTAATGAGCCACAATTAGTACATCAAGGAAATAATGCAAAAAGATAACAGCAAAAATGATGTATCAACAGCTTTTCACTCCTGTGACAGTCAAAATGTATTAATCTAAATAATATGCAAACTCAACATTTAAGATCAAAATCAAATTTTAAATCCACAGGTGATAGGACGTTAAGGGTCAGTCACAGTTAAAAGCAGTGGTTTCCAATTCAAAGAGGAGCAGCCCTGAAGAGATTCTGCATCCACTGTGTCTGTACTACCATATTAGCATGTTTACAGACAGTAGTAGTGCTAGGATAGCAAGCTGTGTGGTAGCTTGAGCATCTCTCCTCCATCTGTGGACTTTCACACAGCTTTCCTCATCCACAATTATACACACTTGCACAATTTTATACCACTGACTTGTACCACCCGTTCAGTACCAGACACGTGCATAAAAATAAACACGCTCCCCAGAGTAAGAAGCAGCACAACACAATTCTGTCCTTCCCCGGTGAGAGCCACTCTCACCTGATGCGAGTGGTGCGTTTCACTGACATGCACACACAGGTACTTATTACATTTATAGGCACACAAGACGCCAGGAAAGTGGGAGAAATCAGGTTAAAGCAGGAAGTCAGAGAACACATTTACATGCACTGTGATAACCTGGTTACTGTAAAATCCACATTTACGTGCAGCTGGTCAGTAATCAGATTTCTCCTCTACCTCTGCCCACCATATTTCTGAACCAATGCAGGCAGATTTAAAGTGTATTAGTGATATGCACTACAGCCTGAAGTGGTCTTTTTCTTTTTTTTTGTAAGAGCATTTGGACTGGCATTGCAGTGTGATAACAGGCACTTGTAGTGAGACAACAGTTTTTTCCTAATTTGCAAATGAATGTGAATTTAAAAATCCACACTTCTGCTGAGGAAACTGATGTGTATAGATTCATTTTAGTACTTCCTTCACTTGTGGTTGGACTTTGGACTTTTGGATACAAGAATGCACTTTTTATCAATCATCTTGTCTTTCATTCCTCTGTATTGCTGCCACAGAATTATATTATGTAAAAATCTATCATACATGTGCACTCTTGTGCCAGACTTGTTGGAAATCTGCTTATGTGGCCAAAAAACATGTTTCTTGAGCAGAAATGTAACTCTTAACCGAGTTTCTCTCTAGACTAGGTTAAGGAAGCTACGTTACTCATTTACATGGCTTTACAAGACTCATCACTGACAATGAATGAACACACTGAATATCAACATGACAGAACCCAAACCACACCAGAGGACTTGAACCCAAAGCCACAAACGCATACTGGAACTGGATGACCAGAAAACCGTTGCCAAATAATGAGTAGTTGTCCAGCGTTACATACCTCCTGTCAAGGCTCATGAAGAACATGATGAGGTATCTAGTCCTTTTTGTTTTGTGTATTCCATTGTAGCCACAGTTGTGTCGAAGTAATGGTTCAAGTCCCAACAGCTTTGCAGTACTTAATGGCTGCAGGGTATACATCCATTCTCATCTTCCTTAGTAGACCAACAACAGATTCTGAACCATTCAGCTCACTCAACAATCACAGAGCCCACTTCAGCTTGTAGGAGTCTAGTGTTCACAGCCCCAGGGTTGGGAATGGGACGGCATGGGACGATACTGGACTGGGACGGGGAGGGCTCCCCTAGCATGGCAGCTGTCCATGCTAGCTCCCTCTCTATCCCCCCCCTTTTTTTGTGTGTGTGTTTTCTGATAGGGTGAGACACAGGAAGACACCCTCTATTCGCCCACCCAGGTCCTAGAGCCTAGGGGGGCCAGACAGAGAGGGCATTGAGGGTCTGACTAAGACGATGACAGCGGAAGGGAGGGTGGGAGTGTTGGGCACAGATGCCAACTAAGTGGAGTCACGCTGCCGTCAGAGGCCTCCTGACCCAACATCTCTGAAGCATGACATAGGCAAAGGTGGGGGAGAGAAGTAGGTGAAGTGCGTAACAAGGGAGAAAATAATGTCTACCGGAATGTGGTTTCAGAGAGACAGAGAGAGGAGACGATGGAGAAGAGAGATTATCTGCATTATTAAGCACCACCCTCTGCATCTACAGGACGTGGACACAACATTATGAACCACAGTGAAAGTTAATGCAATCCAATACAAATGTCCTTGAGGACATCGGTTTTGTTAGACTTGTTATCACCAAAGTTTCATTGCTTTGGCCCCAAATTTTTAACTAAATGAAAACAAAATACAGCACTATCACTCACGTCAGAGGAGGACTCTGTTCAAGAAGAAGAAGAGGGGAATGACTGTGTGGCTGGGTGATGTTCATGGTACTAAGAAATAGTGGCAGGGTGAGAGCTCTTACTTTCTCTGTGCTGAAGAAACAGCTCATCAAATCCAGCACCTTAGATTTTGCTTGTTCAACATTTCAGCGTTTTATTGTTTTTGCCAGTAATAAAGAATGAAATGGGTCATATCATTACCATATCAGGCATTGGAAACGTCCTGCTTGGTACCATGCAATGTTAAAATCCATACTAGGAGAAGTAGAGAAATAGATGAGACAATATGGCACTACTGTGTGTTTATTAAAGACATGGCAAGACTCCCAAATGCAGTAAGATGCGGAACAAACAGACAGTGGAAATGAGCTATGTTTTAGCCTGCCGCTGCTAAAAATAAAAATGTGTGGCCAAATCAGTCTCCTGTTAACAAGAGTTTCATCTAATGTATTAGTATAAATATGTGAAACTAGTTGCTGGTGAACCTTCCTGCCAACACCGTTCAAGCTC